AGAGGCTTGGCAGATGAGGGGGGCAGCGGGGGCCGCTGACCGTGACAAAAGTTAGTGCTAACAACGTTAAGTCGGGTTCTCTGGACGGAGCGGGCCTGACTTAACTTTTAGATTTGTCTACGTGGATTACTGAGCATGCATCAGGGTATGCTAAAGTTAGTCTATCTTTTTGTTTCTAATCAACTTCTTAACATCTAAAATAAGGAGGAAAATAAATAAAACATGAAAGGAAAGTTCTATTCTCCAACACACATTTTATTTTAATAAAACATTAAGTTTGTGTACGTCACATCTTGACCCAGGCCCTAATATTAGCAGCCCGCAGGGTGGAAATGTTTATGCAGTGACTGCCTCTCTTTGCCTCGAGCGTCATACCAGGGCACGTTAGAGCCAATCAGATTACTGACCTGTTGTTCCAGGTCCGCCCCGCAACTGTCATGCTGTGGTCCCTGCACAGAGGAAATATAAAGCAGCCTGACAAGCCAAGAGGGAGAAAAGAGACGAGAGTGAACCATGAAAGAAACCCTTGCCAGCTTTTCAACTCTAACCATGGCTTTTACTGACTGCATGACACCTACAGACTTCTCTGCTGGGAAAAAGGAGATCAAGTAAGTAAATGCAGCATTTAGCAATGGTGTTCATGATCAGGAGACACTTGTAAAAAAAAATAAAAATCTACTTTCATAAAATGCTAATGAGCGTTGTCCTTTTATTACAGGAGGAAAAACTGGAGAAACAGAATGGGATTTCTGCTGAAGGCAAGCACGTCCCAGTCTATACTGCATCCAATGAAAAACAAACCCTACAGGTAATTATTTACTTTAAAGTTTGTGTAGAAAATCATTTTTAAACACTTTTTTTTCTTCACTAACGCTCTAGTTTATTTGCTTTTAAAAGCAAAATTGGTTACATTTAAATTCAGTTTTAGGGACATTTTATCCATGCCTTTTTGTTTTGCATTTTAAAAAAAAATGATTTGATGCATTTTAAATGATCATGGAGCAATAAACATATTTGCAATTAAGCCAGCTGAATAATCAAGCAGTTGCTCCATTGCAGAATATTATAGCAATAATAAAATGTAATCAATGAGTTATAGTGGCACTGCAGAAGCAGTTGTAATTATCTCTGTTCTTTCCCCTCAGGCCAAGCGTTGATGACGTGAACCAATGGGCACAGTCACTTGACAAACTACTCAGTCACAAATGTAAGTACAGCTCATCTGTCTGCTGAAGCCCTGTTATATAAGCGTCTCAAAGGGCAAACTGTAACTGGGGAGCTGAATGAAAGCAGTTTATTGGCCTCAATAAAACGTCGCTTGCAATGGCTTTGCACTCACTTTACCTTCCATTAATGGGCAAACAGTCCGTGAATGACACCAGCCCCGTCTTACACGCCTCTGCTCTTCCTCCCACAGATGGAAAAGCTGCCTTCCATATCTTTCTGAAGTCTGAGTTCTGCGAGGAGAACATTGAGTTTTGGACGGCGTGTGAGGACTTTAAGGCACTCACGTCACACAAACATCTGGTGTCCAAGGCCAACAGCATCTTTGAGGAGTTCATTCAAAGCGAATCTCCTAAAGAGGTAATAAATTGCACAAATTGCATTTCCCTTACTGATGATGTAAAATCCCCGTTTATGTTCCTCCAGGGTAATAGAATTATGTTTTTACTGATGCCTAATGCTCATTTTGCACATTTCTTATATCACAGATAAACCTGGATTTCCACACCAGAAATGCTATCGTCCAGAGTCTCCATGAACCCACAGCGACTAGCTTTCAGGCAGCTCAGAAGAAAGTCTACAGCCTGATGGAGAACAACTCCTACCCCAGGTTTATCCAGTCCGAGCTCTACAAAGAACTATGTGCCGTTGCCAGAGGGGAGAGCAAGCTCATAAAGTCCTAGTCAAACTGAAACTCCACACCTGAAGTCATTTGTTTTCCACTGTGACCCAACGCTGAACACAGATGATCTTTATTCCAAACAATGGCTCTGGATTAAAATCCTGAATGCAAATTAAACGGCAGCGGCGAGTGTGGAAAATGCAAAGTGAAGTTTGTTTTAGTCCATCCTGCTGAGTTCAACAAGGAAGACGGGATGAAAAGACTGGATGTTAAAAGATGCTGCATAAAATGTGCAGGACATTTTTTATGAGATGGAATCAAAGTTACAGTTTTTACCACCAGGTTGTTACCCACAATGCAATTTTATGGGTTTGATGCAATTATGCACTTCTAAGAAAATATTGTAGCACTCCTTTATTGAAGCTGAGAAGTTAAAAGACTCCTGTCATAAAACCGACAGCGCTGGAAGAATGTATTTTCTGGGACACTTGAAGATTTTGTTCAGAAGTCGTGCACTTCGCTGTAACTTGAGTTTATTATGTTTAAGTTTAATGCTATATTTGCACCAGTTTACACTAAAAAAAACTGCAGCTTAAACTTGTACAGTGAAGTCAACATTTCCACTGACGACTTTATTTGGCTTGAAATTTTATGTGACAGTGTAAATATTGTGATTTAACATTTAATGTGATGAATGTTTGATTGGATTTTAGGCAGCTGGACTGCTTGTGAAATAAAATGTTGTATTTTTTGTAAGCTGACAACCTGTGATGTCTTCGTGTTTCACTTTTACTCAGTTTTATTTATATGACACTTAAAATAAAACACAAGTTATATCTGAAGTTCTCCATGAAGAAACTCTAAGACATAAAACCAAATAAGATTTATAATGCAACTGGTTTTAAATAAAACCAATTTGAAGAAATAAAAAAAAAAATAATACACACATAAAAACCAAAGTTGACAATAGTAATATATATATA